ATGGGTAAACGCCTAGAACGATGGGCACCTCCAATGTTTTGGAAATTCACTCCTGAACAAGTGCAGAATCCTGAAAAACTGGTTGAATATTTGGAAAAGGTGTGCTGTCACCCTGGAAATTCTAGGCAAACACAAGTCACTGCAATGTGCTGGGGCCTGGCCCATGCTTACCGAGCCCTGTTCAACACTATCCGATACATCCAAAGGGAAGAGAAAGTCTCTGGATCTGATGACAAGGCCACAGCCACTGCGGCTACTCCAACCCCGGTGATATGCACTGCAGCTACTCCAACCCAGGACGCAGGCACTGTGGCTGAACCAGGGAAGAGGCTCCAGTGACTGTCGTGGTTTAACCTGGCTGGCAACTCAGCACCACGCAGCCGCTCGCTCACTCCCCCCCTCCCCGAGAATGATAACAGAATATACAGAATATACAAAACGAATGATACACAATGCAATTGCTCACCACCCGCCGACCGATGCCCAGCTCGTCCCGAGCCGCGATCAGTCCCCGAGCAGCGAGCAGTCTCCCTGCAACCAACCGACCAACTAACCCCCCCGAGCATGACATTATATGGTATGGAATACCTCTTTGGACAGTTTGGGTTAGCTGTCCTAGCTGTGCTGTACTCCCAGCTTGTTATGCACCTGGGCGAGCAGGAGAAGCTCAAAAAGTCCTTGAGTAGTCTGAGCACTACTTGGCAACGGCTGAAAACATCAGTGTGTTATCAACATTCTTCTGGTACTAAATCCAAAACACAGCACTATGCTAGCTTCTATGAAGAAAATTAACTCTATCCCAGCCGAAACCAGGACCCAGGGTTTGGGCAACAATCCTAAAGTGCAGGGTAACCTGGCAGAGACCACTGCACTGCCTTTCAGAGGCAATGGGAGAGACTGCACAGCATGTGGGGAGGGGTTGGATGAACTCAAAAAAAGCTTAAATATTTCTGGTGGTGTTTGGGTTTAAAGTCTGAGGCACTGGAACTGCATATATTGCATAAAAAGTTTCAACTAACTGGCTTCACAAGATGGGTAAGAAGAAATAGCTAATATCTGCCCTCAACAGTTGCCACCACCATTTCTGTGTGACGGGGGAGAGGTGATGGATGGCATCTGTAGGACAGACTCACAGAACCCATAGTCCTCCCTGGATGCTTTGTTAGCAGAGTGGGTGATGCACTTTTTTTCGGTTAAACCTAACAGTTACACAAAATCTTTCACAAAGTTAAGGACTGAGATTTAAAAGCCAGGAAGTTTACTTTTAGTCCATTGGTTGGAAGTATTCAGGAAGAAAATTGTGAATCTGCAGGGAGTAGGCTAGTTGCTATGGATGCAGCTCTGACACACGCTTTGGGAGTGTACGAATAGTGTTAGAGAATATGCCCGGGTCCCTCCTGCTGCACACCGCCCCATTGCGGCTGTAATGTTTTGGAGCCTTGCAAAAAGAACCGCAGCTAGGACAGCAGTGTCACCTGCTGGTAAGCGAAATGGCTGCTCCTGAGTGCTGTTTTAATTTCCACTGCACATTGCAGACTGCTTCTATGTGTTCTGTGAGAATACCGCTTCTCGCCTTTATCTTACAGGTGACAACATGGTGAAGCGGTGTCGGTTACAGATTCAAAGATGACAGCATTTCTTTCGTTTTCTGGGTTATTTAAACAGTAGAGGTTTTCCGAGGTTTGCTTAACAAATAATAGTGGCTTTGGTGATGGAGCTTTTGTCCATGTTAGTTATTTTAGTACAGTTTTAAAATTGAGGCTGATACTGAGCCACATTTTGTTCTGCATTTCCTATTGGTTAAGAATACATAAAAGCCTAGTATGGATATCACCTGCTCACCTTAAAACCTTCACTTAAAAGTCTGTGATTCTCATACTTCTGTATATGTCTAACACATATGTATGTATGTATTTCATAAGAGTGGTCAAATGAGTGATCATGTGGAAGAAAACAGCAAGAAAAGGAATTCTGCCCAGAACACATCTGCAGAAGGAAATGTCTCTCCTGCTAAGGACCGCTCAGTAAAACAAAAGCAATTGGTATGACTTCTCCAGTACCATTTTACTATCAAGATACTTACCATTGCCTTAATTTTCTTCCATAATTAGAAAAATAAAAAGCTGGAGTCAATGGGGAAGTATCAGTAATAAGAACCATGAAATGAGTCAAGTTTGCAGTGCAGTGATTTAGAGGGCTACGTGCACTTCCAAGCTCACATGAAATAGTAGGGAAATAGGAGAGTACTCACAGAGAGAGGACTATCTCCATAGCTTATTATTTGCTCGCAACTTGAAATCGCATAATTTATCATCATGAACAATGATGATGCTGAAGCATGTTTTCTGCACTGAAAATCTACCCCAGATTCTGAAGGAGAAATCTGAATAATGTAGGTGCATGAGACTGCCCCTTAGGTTTTCAGGAGGATACAACTGAAGATGCACAGCATCAACCACCTTGTAAGTAAGTGCACTCAAGTGCCTGGGTATTTCTAAATCGCTATATTGGACTGAGCTGCCACAGCTTTCCCCATGAGACGCAATGAAGGCGCTCACTTCTTTGTGAAAAATCACTGTGGACTCTGAAAGGAATGACACCATCCGGGGAAGCTGAGGCGTAGCAAGTCAGCTCCATTTACCCTAGACAAGAAAAGATAAATTTGTATGTACATTTGTGCCTTTGCATAATGAATGACAAGTGTATGTTCAATGTCCACAGTCATTGCCCAAAGAGAAACTGTTTGACACTTTTTGTGTCAATTGTTTGACAATTGTTTGAAAAAATGCCCATGTTTGTTTGCATTGACTTTAGACTTAGAATCATAGAATTGTTTAGATTGGAAAAGACCATTAAGATCATCAAGTCCAACCGTTAACCTAGCACTGCCATCCCACCACTAAACCATGGCCCTAAGCGCCACATCTACCCGTCTTTTAAATACCTCCAGGGATGGGGACTTGACCACTTCCCTGGGCAGCCCGTTTCAATGCCTGCAACCCTTTCTGTGAAGAAATTTTTCCTGATGTCCGATCTAAACCTCCCCTGGCACAACTTGAGGCCATTTCCTCTTGTCCTATCACATGACTGTCAACATATGTGGGCTATGTGGAATGGCAATACACAGAGCTGATGCTTTAACCTCCAAAACTATTCAGCAGTTTTAGCTAATTGCAAACACAAATTCTGTAAAATGGAAGAAAATGCTCCCTCCTATTTCTCAAAAACTGCTCAATTTAGCTTCTTTATTTTTGTCTGTGTTTTTTTCATTCTCCTCACTTGCGCAAGTGCTTCCTTCCTGTGCTAGCTGCTCCTCCAAACATTTCTCTTGCCAACAGATTGTTTGGACAAAGATGGGTTCTAAGCATATGCATGATCTCAGTGAAGATGAGGGCAAATCTAGTTGAGATGCTTATAATCATAGTGCTTGTTTTTACATTATGGATAAAACTGAAGAAAAAAATACATGATTCTGCCTCCCACAAGACAACTTTCAAACTGCATGCCACTGTACCAGAGTCATGTATTCAGAGTCATGGTTGTTCCCTCTCCTGTCAGGAGGCACAGTTCGTCAAAGGAATACTCAATTAACAGTTAGACAAGCAAACACTTTAAACAATGTGATCATAATTTAGGTCGAGTTTTGCTTTGTTTTCCTACCTGTGTTATTTTAAGTTATCAAGAATATTAATTTTAATGTCATTTGAAAGCCAGTGGGGACATTTGGCAGCTAGTAAATATTTGTTCCAGTTGTACTAACTATAAACTTTCTGTTGTTTATTTATAGCAACAACTCGAGAAGCAATTAAAATCCTTAGCCTTTCAGAATCCAGGACCTCAGGTAGCTGACTTCAATCCTGAAACTAGAGAACAGAAAAAGAAAGCACGCATGTCACAAATGAAACAAGAGGTTCTTAAAAAGCCCAAGTAAGATGTGCTAATTTATTACATATTTTACTTCAAAAAATGGCTGGTATGCTGTTTACTGAATATAAATGAAATGAAAAAAAGCATTAATATTTTCAGAGATATTTCTGATTACACATGGAAGCTGTGCTGGGAACACAAGCTTTTTCTCTGTGACTTAAGATAATTTTGATCTACTTCTTTGGCACACTTTCATTTTTAATGAAACAGTGGCTGTTGCAATTAGGATATAATGCTGGTGTTTCATTATGCTGTGAGGTTGTTAAAGAGGAAATATTTGTTCCTGGGCAGATTTTTTCCACATTTGTTTGGTTTAATCTTTGAATGTGTTGAAGTATTCTCTGAGAATCACTTTCTCTTTCACAGAATTACAAAGAAGTATGACAAACATGGAAGGCTGCTTTGTAATAACATTGATTTGTGTGATTGCCTGGAAAAGAACTGCCTGGGTTGCTTCTATCCTTGCCCCAAATGCAATTCAAACAAATGTGGACCAGAATGTCGCTGCAATAGAAGATGGGTTTATGATACAATTGAGACCGAAGCTGGGAATGTGATCAGTGTGTTGCCATTTTTTGTTCCTGACTGATTTTGTTCTGAAAGTTTTTGCACCTGAGCAAAGTTCCTCTTTCTTTGCATTTTATTAAAGTAGATCCTGGCTTTATGAATTGTCTCTACTGAAGTGCCTGGCAGTGGTGCTGGTGCTTGCACTTCTTTATTGCTGCCTATCTAACAGAATTTAACCTTCCCCATTAAGTAAAAGTATGTATTTTGTTCTTCTTCATCCTTGCAAGCTTTACTGAGGCAGTCCTCTTTAAATCTTGACTTTCTAAAACTGAAGGTGTCTGGACTGCTGTGGGAAGGCAATTTTCTTATCCTGGGAAGCTGAACCACATTACTTGCAATGAGTTTTTTTTTCCTGCCAGTTCCTCTTTTTTTTTTTTTTTTTACAGCACATGGCACACTCAACCTTGTTCAGTCATTAATTATATAGCTAGAGGTAAACAGATTGGATATTTTTGTCTCTGGACAGAAAAGTCTCTTTAGTTCCAGGAGTTTCCTTTTCATGCAATACATGACAGATTTCAAATACCATAATTTACACCCAGCTTCCTCATGAGGTTGGCATTTTCATTCATGATGGGCACTCACAAAATTTTGAGGAGTGAGTGTCCCTCTGGATCTTGAAGGAGGGAAAGTTGCAGATTGCCGTAGGTGACCTCCAGGAGCATGCTGCTAGTGGGGGAATCATTCCCTGGGCTCAGTGCTTGTTGTTTTTGAGGACTCTCTTCCAAGTTTGAATGTGGCACCACTTTTCTCCCCTACAAGAAGCCATTCTCTATGGACAAAGACCTCCTGCTTCAAGGCAGAGGTGTCTCCCAGTAGAAGAAACTTCCTGGAACAGATCCCAAAAATGCCTTAACACCACAATCTCCTTTTGACTTGATACCTCGGTAAGATTTTTTGCTCCTCTCAACTAATGACACCTCAGGAATTAAGCCTGTAGCGTAAGAACACCCACTACCAAAAAACTTCATAGGCATATTTGCTATGGTGGTTAAAATGCTCTCTGTTCAGTAGTTGGATCTGTTGCTGTTCTCCTGTATACCTCACTGGTCCCGAAGTATCCTTTGACTTATGCCGGGAGTCCAAATAGTCCATATCATCTCTAAGCTGTACTTCTTAAGGTAGGTGAAAATCCTGCCAATGTAGTCAGGGATTGGTTTCTTGTTCCAGGTGTGCCACACACTCATTCTGGACTTGGCTGAATAAGCAGCTCTTCAAGAAAATAAAGTTGATTCACAGGGACAGGAAGATAGTAGCCTTCCTTTGCAATAACCCCAGGATCTGAATCAGACAGGTTTGAATTAGCTTCACTTTCTTTCCACTTAAAGGCAAAAACCCAAATAGTTTCTCAAGTGGATTCCGGTGGTAAGGCTACACGTTAAGTTTTTTTTGAGTAATGTGATTAAGCCCAGATTGGTGTAAATCTTTAGAATCCCATTATTGAATTCATTGGTGTTACTTTGTGTTTTTTAACATGGACTCTGCCTCTGTCACAATCATAGCTAAATACAAACTATAAGAGGACTCCATCGCAAACACACTTGGTGCAACCTTGGAAATATAGCATAAAACCTGAAAAAACAGTCCAAGATAAAGACAATGAAATAAGAGGATGTTGCAGAGGCAGTTTGAGAATGACTCTATCATTACAATGATCCTGCTAACTTTTCCCCCAATTCCAAAGGAGCAGCTGACAGTGCACAATTATAATCCCTATTAGGGCAGTTGGGGAGAGGGGCGTGGAGAAAAAAAGAAAAAGACCAGTGTCATACACGTTTCTAGTGATTGCAAAACTTAGTGGTAGATACATGTGTATAAAAACAATGACAGAGTGCCCGCATCTGGCAGTTTTTGTGAGGCAATTACATAGTGCCATACTGCATGACATTGCGGTTTTAAATAAAATCCCCTACCAGAAAAGGCAGAGAAAGTTTCTTAGAAATTGGCCACTCTCCAGATGACAGTAGATCATCTTTTCACCTTGTTTGCTTTAGAAAGCTGACGTTTAAAATAAGGGGAAGCAGATCAATGAACTGTTCCAAAAGGTCTGGTGGTCCTTCTTCTCCCTCTCCCCCCTCCGCCACTCTGCCCCGGATTATGCAGGTTAAACTTTGTGACGCTTTCAGCTGACTTTGCCTGTCTTTTCCTTGTCCACGTGGCTGCTTTGCTCACACCTACCAGTGATCCCACCGTGGCTTAAGGAAAGATGTAAGCACAGGTGTGCATTAAACTAGCATAGCTAAGATACACTGTCAGTCTCTTCCCTAAAAAAGTCTCTTGCCTAAAAATTGATGCAGTTTAATTTTAATTCATTGTGCCTTCCACTGTATTTCCCTTCCTTACAATCCATATCTATCTGCAAGGAGATATATACCCTCTGCTTTCTTAGATGTTACTACTACAAAGAAGCCAATCTCACGGAAATGAATGATGTGCTCCCATATGATTTTTGTGTAGGTAAAGATGTTTCTTTCTCTGCTAACTTCCTATGTGTTTGGGCATTGTCTTACTGGCAAAGACTCCACTGTGCATCTCCTGCCATTAACAAACTTGAAAACTCAGAAAACAAAATAAGAGCTATGCACAGCATCTTGTTGTTTGCCTTCACTGCACTCTGTTAGTCTTTAAGAAGAAAGTTAACCACCAAAGACACTCGTTATTTAACAATTTGTCTACACTTCTTGATATCAGAAGTTGTCACAGCTCTGAGGAAAAAAAACACAACAGCTGTCCTTGCATTGGATAATTACAGCTGCTCCTAACAGTCAATTTAAAGGAAATATTAATAAAATTATTATCATGTGGATCAGAAGAGGCCACATGAAAGCAAAGGCCATTAAATATTACAACTTTTAAGATGTGAAGGTGTGCTAAAGATAAAGAACACCCAAAACATTATCAGATAAGAGATGGGAGTTTCAAATAAGGTGGCAGACCAAAGCTGTATTGGGGCACAAGACCGACTGGCTTAGTCAGGTGTAGCAAGGCCACCACTCCTGTGTCTGCCTCTGTTTCTGTGCTAATAAATGGCCAAAATTATGCTGACTTTTCTCTTGGCTCAGGGATTGCAAATTCTGCATGCAAAGTTCCACATTGAAAACTTAGAATTACTTCTATATATCCTTTTATGTAAAGGGTCCATGATTACTAATCTACAGTTACGTGTATAACACAGCACCTCTGAAACATAGACTAGGAATTAGCACTGTAAAACAACAGGCAGAAAATGGAGATCTTTTTTTCCCAAAGTAAGCTCCCAAATTTTATATGAAAAGTGTTAACAGGATTCCTGTCCACATGGAGACTTAATGTTGGGTAACTCCAGTAAACTGCATGGTGTCCAGTTTACCTGCAGTGCTTTAAAAATGATGAGGGACAGTCAGCCCTGGGAGAGTTCAGATCTGCGGTTCCAGCAAGTTCAGTATTCAATATACATCAAATATAGTTCAATATTTCAGTCACAACCTGACACCACCAAACTGTTCCTCCTGGCTTAAAATGAACTTCTGCATACTGTGAGGTGCCATTCAATCCCACTGCATCACTTGGGAGAAAAGTAAGTCCATACTGTTACTGAACTTATACTAGTATGTACCAGCATTTGTTGAGGTAAGAACTCTATGGTTAGTATTTGCCAGCCTTTGTGACTCATACAAACACAGAAAGGCATTAAAAAAAAAAAAAAAGAAAAATAATACACTTTGAACTCTTTTCCAGATAATTTTCACGATCCTTTTAACACCTCTGTAAGATCACTGCTGAACTTTCTCTATACACATCCACACCATCAGATTTGATTCACTTCAGTGGAAAAACCAGAAGAGCTTGACGAAAGAAATATAGACTGGTATTTTCTGGATAAATATTTAAATACACCTTAGATAAATATTTGCATCAAAAGCATTACAGTTGCTGCAGCTCTACTGAGTTTCTTAGCTAGCGACAGCATTATTGATTGCAGCTTCTCCTTTGACACATTGTTCATGATCTTAAAACAAATTTTGCACATTTCAATGGACTACTTTGATCCCATTCTATTTGGAAAAGAGATATATCAAGCCTGAGCTAACTGCAACCTTGAACATTAGTTAGGACATGACAGCTGCATTTCATTAACCCTAATTTGTAATCTATGGCATGAACCATAGAAAGTTTTCCTGTCCTATTGTTTCCTGAGGGCAATGAATCTTTCCTCCATTGGCCTGGCCCTGCAAAGCACTGACCTGCTTCCATCTCCACTCAGGTGCATATGTATGAATGCTGGTCCCTTACAGCATCGTATCCGTTTGTGTTACAATGGAATAAACTAAGGCCTACTGTCCGCAGCAGGAACTCCTGTATGCTCAGATGCCCTTGATTAAAGGAGTAGGCTATGCAGCCCTGACTTCCGCTGTGTTGCCCAAATAATCTGACTCCCTTCACATGACCAGATGGGTAACAATTTGACTCGAAATATGTCTTAACTAGATGGACAGTTAAGACAACTGATAAAATAAATTAAATTGTGTAATATCATCAGCTCAGTGAAAAAAAGTGATTATTCACATTGGAAAAATGGATCATGGATGCAAGTACAAAACAATAATAGAGGAATGGATGTATGAGAAGACACAACTTTTTATAATTCTTTTTTAGGAACAGAAAAGGTATTAGGAAAAAAATTATTTAATTGTGCGCTTGACAGCACCTTGTCAGGTTAGCTTCATTATTTATTATTTCCAGTCAGGTGCTCTCTTTCCTGTCTGTCTTCAGTGAGGCTTTGATCACAGAATAATACAGGGTGGAAGAAACGTCCAGAGGTCTCAAGTCAAACCTCCTGTGCGAAGCAGGTCCAGCTGGAGCAGGTTGCTCAGGATCCTATCCAGTTGAGCTTTTCATGTTCTTTGTTTTGACTATTCATTTCAAAAATTCATTTGAAGCGGCAAAGCGTGAAAGAAAATACTTTAAAATAGGTCCACACGATTATAAAACCAGAGAATTGGCAGCAAACCTGAGTGGCGCATCCAATACCTGTATCAGTTGGAACTTTTTAAAATAAGCAAGCAAGTGTCTAGACTTCCAGTCGCCCTTGCTCATTTTGACGGAACAAACTTTATAACATTCTGCTCTCCAGGGAGATTTCCTAGAACAGGAAGTTACATTATTTCAGTGTGGAGTGAAACATTCATTTTTCTTTTCCAGCCAAATAAATTTCTTGCAAGAATATCGTCTTTTCATGTTTTGGAATAGTACAGAAAAACAGATTAAATAGTTGAATGTAATTACATTTCACCCCAGAACTATAGCTTGAAAAATGTAGCTGCCTTTCGTAACAGCAACGGCGGGTCCAACTTCTGGTAAGAGTTATAGTGCAAATGTTGTTAAGGTCTCAACCAGGAATTCCCTGCTTTAAAATTCCCATTGGAGTACGGCCAGGTTTGTCACTCTTTTTTTCCTGATGTTGGTTCTTATGCCTGAGTCTATTTAAACAGACATTATCTACGAGGTTGCATAAGAGGTTCCAGTTGAATATGAGGAAGAACTTCCTTACTTTGAGGGTGACAGAGCACCGGAAGAGGCTGCCCAGGGGGGCTGTGGAGTCTCTGGAGATATTCAAAACCCACCTGGACGACGTCCTGTGCAACCTGCTCCAGGGGAACCTGCTTGTGCAGGGTGGCTGGATTGGGTGATCTCCGGAGGTCCCTTCCAACCCCTGCCGTTCTGTGATTCTGTGTTCTTTTCAAATGTCCTGACTGAAATCCTGGCCCTGTTGAGGTTAACGACTAAATTCCTCTCGCTTCAAAAGAGGCATGTGTTAGGTTGGATTTTAGGATCTTAAAGGTCTTTTCCAACCTAAACGATTCTATAATTCTATGATTCTAAAACTTTAGCATGTACATTTATAAAACAATTTTTTACAGTACCTCAAAAATTTCCAGCCTTTTCCCACCTGCCTCTTGAGCCTACCATAACTGATTACCATGCACCTAACCCTCTGGGCCACATACTACAAACCTTTACAGCCACGTCAGAAGTCTTTTGCAGATTTTTAATATTTTTAGTTGGCTTCCCAAGAAAACAAGGTTTACACGGTCAGGCTGCCTCTTGCTCTGTTTGTTCATCCTGTTGTCTTTTAGCCCATTTTTCAATTTCAGCCAAATCTGATGGAAAACGGAGGTCTCACAGCCATTAGACAACATTTAAGGTAATACCCACGGAGTAGAAATACCCAGATGAGTGCTGCTTCCCTGTCAGCCCACACGTTAACGCTTCCATGCGTGTGGTTTGGCCTGAAGCACGGCACAGCGTGCTCTGCGCCTCACGCAGGGGAGTCAGAATGGCACGCGGGGTTGTTACCTGGGAAGAGGTTGGTTGGGGAAGAGAATGCAGCCAGCCACCGTGTCGTGGTTTAACCCGGCTGGCAACTAAGCACCACGCAGCCGCTCGCTTACTCCCCCCCCTCCCTCTGTGGGATGGGGGAGGGAATCGTAGGAAAGGAAAAAAAAGTAAGACCTGTGGGTTGAGATAGAGACAGTTTAATAAGAGAAAAGAATAACAATAGTGATAATAATAATGGTAAGAGAATATACAGATTATATATATAACAAGTGATGCACAATGCAATTGCTCACCACCCGCTGACCGATGCCCAGCCCGTCCTTTGGTCAGTTTGGGTTAGCTGTGCTAGCTGTGCTGTACTCCCAGCTTGTTATGCACCTGGGCGAGCAGGAGAAGCTCAAAAAGTCCTTGAGTAGTCTGAGCACTACTTGGCAACAGCTGAAAACATCAGTGTGTTATCAACATTCTTCTGGTACTAAATCCAAAACACAGCACTGTGCTAGCTACTATGAAGAAAATTAACTCTATCCCAGCCAAAACCAGGACACGTTAGTTCCACGGCCTCTGGAAAGTTTGCTGCAATATTGCACGTGCGACATCTTTATTACAAGTTCGTGGCGTACCAAGGAGAAGTTCACCGACCCGTGGGTTGGAGCCAGCTCCGCGCTACCACAAAAAGGCTGCGCGGGGCCTGGAGAGGCCAAGGATTTTCACACACCCCGTGATTCAAACGCGAGCGCTGATGACACAGGGCGGAGGGCGCACACCCCTCCCGCCCGGCACCAGCACCAGGTGCTGCGAAACTCTGAAACGCGAGGATTTCAACAACAACCTTTCCAGCACTCGCGGGGTGCTGCCGACCCGTGAGGGAG